GTAGATTCTTCTCAGAAAAAAGTTCCCAAAAAAATTCATAGGACAAGGCTAAGTTAGCACAAAAGTGTGCTAACTTATTACAGTGTCGTCTTATATGATGAAAAATGACATTATTAAAATTATTCCCAAAAAAGAAATCATGATCTTCATCACTATTATCATCCAACTTCTTGTCTTTGTTGTACAATTGAAGAATTTATATGATATTATAATTATCACTTTCAACAATAATACCAATGGCATCAAGTAATTTACCTTTTAGGAGCTTATTTAAAGAATTGATAGCTAATAGCTCCACTTGTGCAATATCCCAGTGTAGTCCATAGAAACCGAAAGCCATGATGAATCTACCTTTGAAGTCTCGAACGACACCACCAATTCCAGCTTCATAATTACTCTTGAGGGTTGTATCCAAGTTAATCTTATACCAACCGGGTGGAGGGGGATGCCAAGAATCAAAAAACTGTCCCATGGACTGATGAACATCCCAGTGGTCCGATTGAATAAGGTTGAACTTCTTACTATTTACAAAACTCAAAATAGTAGAAGTATCACCATTTTCTAACTTTCCATGTTTGCTCTTATTTCTGTTTTCCCATGAAAACCAAAGCATAGTGCAGTATATTCTAGCCATCACCGGATTTGTATCAGCAAGAGTTTCCAATTTGCTCCAACAGTCATGGAAAGAATTGTATTTAGGAATCATAAATCCCCAACTCCTTAAAATATCAATAACCTTGATCACCAGTTTAAGTCAAGACGTGGTGATATGATCTAGATCTTTAGTAGCTTCACAACCTCTCGGACATGAATCTACATTAGTAAGCCTTCTTCTCATTAAGAAATCTGCAGTTGGTAAAGCTGATTTGGCCATCCTCCATATAAACAATTCAACACGGGAGTTCAGTTTTAATTTGTAAATCCAATTCACTGGAATAGAATAAGAAACAGAGGAAGATTCTACATACAGCAGTTCCTCTTTAATCAATGCATAAATAGTTTTTCCAGAGTAACTTCTTTTTAGTTCCAAGAAGTCACCATCTTCATTTTCTGAGATTTGTATATTACTAATCAGAATTATGAGTTCTCTTCCAAAGAATAAAGATAATTTATCTATATTCCATCTACCATCATGAATAAAGAAGTCTAAATATGTATTCCCATCATCAAAATTTGTAACAAAAGTTGGCCATCTGATCAGGCTAATGTCAAATATCCACACATCCTTCAAAACTTTAATTTTACTCCCTGTCACCACTCTCCATCTCACTGCCTTCTTAAGTGCATTCCTCCCAGATTTTATGATCTTCCAAGAAGGAGAATCACCCTTCTTATTATCATCATTCCACCAGTCCTCTCCATATTTAATTAGCATATTCTTGTTCAACAAATGTATCCGGATCCTTTAATAATTTCCAAGCAAACTTGGCTCTTAATGGTCCCACGCTAGAAAAAGCAAATTTAATCCCCCAACCTCCCAAGGCTTTCGGCTTGCAAAGTTCATTCCAGGCTACATAATGTAGCCCATGACTTCCATCTGCTTTATTCCAGATAATATCCCTGCATAACTTTTCAAATTCCTTCAAAACACCTAAAGGAATGAGAGAGTGTGAGCTGATAAAAACAGGGAAGTTTACATAAACTGAATTTACCAACACCATTCTTCCAGCCAGAGATATGAATTTGTTACTCCAAGAGTTCAACTTCTTCAGGGATTTGTCCAAGAGAAATTGATAATCCCTCTTCTTCAGTCTTCTAAGAGCAACTTTAACTCCCAAGTATTCCATTTCATTCACCGCTTTAAAACCCATGAAATCTTCAATCATTTTCTTCTTTCTTCTATCAACCTTTTTACCATAAATCATATAATATTTATGGTAGTTGATCCTTTGTCCAGTCCAACTGCAGTAATCCTCAGTAATCTCCTTCAATCTTCTTAAATTTTTCTTTTTTGCATCAGTAAATAATAGAACGTCGTCTGCATAGAGTAGATGGGATATCTTTTGACTTTTGTAAGCAATTTTGATGCCCAAATTCGTACCCCTGCTAAGAAAGACATTAGAAAGCAATTGTGAACAAATAATAAATAGAAAAGGTGAGAGTGGGCATCCTTGACAGAAACCACTCTTTCCCTTTATCCATTTAGTGTATCCACCATTTATGAGTATTGAGTAACTTGGTTCTTCTATGCATTCCATCACCAGCTTCATGAACCTCTCCAGAAACCCCAATAGAGATAACATTTTGTAGAGAGTGGTCTAGCACATACTATCATATGCTTGCTCCATGTCCACCTTGATAGCCAACATCCCATTGTTATCCTTTGACAGCCTCATTTTATTGAAGATCTCTTGTGATAGAAGCAAGTTTTCTGAAATTGATCTTCCTCTTATAAATGCTACTTGTTCATCAGAAATGATTTTTGGGATTACAATAAGTAACCTATTTAGTAAGATCTTTGTGACAATCTTATAAATAGAATTACACAAACTAATGGGGCGAAAACTGCTGGAGAGACAGGGTTATTGCTCTTGGGAATAAGAACTACAATTGTGTTCTTCCAATCTTTATTCATTTTTCTTGTAACAAAAAAACTTTTAACATCCATAAAACATCCATACCTACAATGCTCCAGTAGTGTTTGAAGAAAGAATAAGTAATTCCATCAAATCCTGGTGCTCTGTTCTTCCCAGAATTTCTAACCACTTCCCAGATTTCTGAATCCCGTAATTCAGTATCCAGACTGGCTTTGTCTTCTTCATTTAAAACATTCCAAGGAGGTGGCCAATTATTCAAAATGCAATCTCTGTTATCCCATTTCTTCTGAAAATAACTGTAAAACAACTCTTCAATTTCTTTAGGGTCTTCGGTCAGAGTTCCAAAGCTGTTTTTTAACTGAGATATCCAGTTTCCATTCCTTCTGGCATTGGAAAATGCATGAAAAAACTTTGTATTAGCATCTCCCTCTTCAATCCACTTCACTTTAGCTCTTTGTTTCCACCAAGTATTTAAATGAACAAGTGTTGCATTCAGTTCTTTGACTTTTCACCTGAGCGTCCATAGCTTGTCTTCACTTAAATTCCCATTGTTTGCTTCTTCTTCTTGAAGGATCAGAATTTCAGCCTTTAACCTCTCTTTATCTTTGGAAAATTCTTTGAGCTTATTCCTACTCTAGTAAAATAAATCCCTTAAGGATTTCTTGCACTTTTTGTTTAGAATTTGCATTTCATCTCCAAAATAATTCTTCTTCCAAACTTTGTCAATGATACGAGCTGAAGCTTAAAGGAAATCCAAACATCTTCAAATTTAAGAATTTCCCTCTTCTTATCAAAAGTGTCAAAGATTTTTAACACAATGGGACTATGATCGGAAGCAATTCTAGGTAAGTGTCTTACCACAGCCACTTGTAAGCAATTCAATGCCAAAGTGTTCAACAAGCATCTATCTATTCTTTCCAAAATTCTCCCACTACCAATCTTGTTGTTACACCAAGTAAACCTTGGTCCAACATAGCTAATGTCATGAAAATCATTTACATTCATGAAGTTTATCATCTCCTTTTGTCCTTTAGAAAAGACAAATTTTCTACCTCCTCTTTTATCCTCCTGAGAAAATATGCAATTGAAATCACCTCCTACAACCGATGGAAGTTTCCTATGATTAACTTCCTGAATGCAGTCCCACATCACCTTCCTCTTATGCACCTCCTTGCTCCCATAAACCGTAGTGATCATACAAACAACTTTGTTTAAAACATCTAATTTCCCAATAACACATTGGTCATAAGCTTTAATCACATAAAATGCAGCCAAATCTTTCCTCCATATGATCATAATACCTCTAGACAAACCAACAGACAGCATAAGAAAAAAATCCCAATTGGGTCCCATAATTTTCAAGAATAAGACTTTATCAAATTCACTAATTTTAGTCTCCACCAACCCCACAAACATAACTTTATAGTCTTTAATGAATTCTTTAAGGTATAGAGAGGCTTCACTCTTTTTAGCCCCTCTACAATTCCAAAATGCAATGGAATTCATTTAATTTTTTTTTTTTTTTTTTTTGAGAGGGACCACCCTCGTTCTTTCTTGCACCACCACCATCAAAAACTCTTCCACAAGTAGCATTTTTGATAGGTCCTAAAGACCTAAGTTCTTTAGCAAGCTTTACTTTATTAGAGTCACCATTAACAGAGATTGATTTATAGGCCTTGGACACGGTTTTGTCACATAGTTCCTCTGCTTCAATAATAGTTTCAATCAAATCTTTACAAACCTAAGAGTTAATATTCAAACTCTTCTCAAATAAACCACTTTCCTCCTGAATATTATCTTTTGTAATGATTTCATCTACCATTCCCAGAACTTCAAATTTGTTGTTGTCAGTAGATAGAAAAGAGAAATCAGAGTTGAGTTTATTACCCAGATAATCTCTGGTCTTCTGAACATCAGCAGCCTCCATAGCAATGATCTTCACATTCATATCCTTCTGTAAGTTGTCTTCCAGAATTTGCTCCCTTAAGAACTCTCCTTCTTCTAATTGATTTTCATCAGCAATTTCCACATTCATGATCCCATTTCCTAGAACAGATAAAACCTTCTGGGCATTAGACTTCTCAGCATCCCTATTAATCTGGAGCAAATCAACCTTTCTGACAAACTTAATAGTTTGTTTTGGGAGATTAGTTCTATGAGCTATCCTTCTATTCCTCTTATGGTTAACATGGATCCAAGGTCCATAAGCCGGTGCCACAACTTCCTCACTCTTCTTCTCCCCATCAGAGACCAAGCCATCCTCCTTATTAGACATCTTCACATTATCCTGGACCAAATTATTCTTGATACAGTCATCTTTGGTGTTCCCAATCAATTCACATTGGAAACAAAGTGAAGGAATTTTCTCATATTCAACCTTTTGAAAGAACCTTCCCGATAAGCTTTCCACCCAAACACCTAATGGAAGGCTTTGATCAATCTTAATTCTCAGACAAACCCTTGTAAACTCCCTCCTTCCCCATTGGAACATATTCCCATCCATCATGAGTGGCTTGCCAATCATAGAAGCAATTCTTGCAATGTTTTTCTCATCCCAGCAATGGAGAGGTAGATGGGGCATTCTAACCCAGATTGGAGAAGTCAAACCTTTCAAGGACAAAGGTGAAAATTCTGGTGTCCATTTCTCCATTCCAATAATTTGACCATTCACAAACCATGGTCCTCCAGATAATACAGCCTCCATAGAATCGGATGAACCGAATGCACATAAAAACCATCCTTTCCCAAGGGATGTGAAGTGAAATTTGCCAAACATGCTCCATTGTCTCCTCACTTCCCATGCCACCAAGTGCGCTGGAATTTCCTTCCCAAAAACTTAAATCACCAATAAGTTTAGGAGTTTATTAGAATTTTCCATTTCCATTTCTTCACACATCTTCACAGCAATACTGTCTTCAGTTAAAACCTTTTCTTCATCTTTGAAATCTATCTTTATATAAGGCTTATTGATCCATGGGTTTTGCTTCAACTCCTTTACTGTCTTCAAAGCCAAATCATCAGTAATCTTGTCCGCTCCCCCTTTAACATTGGCATACGCATCATTACTGATAGCATGAGAATTTCTGTTAACAGAGCTCGGAGAATTCGCATTTATCACGCTGGGCAACCCCGGGATTGCATTTGAATTCCCAAACCTGTTAACGAAAATTTTCATACCCGATGATGATGCAGAAGGATCTGCCAATTTAGTATCCATAGACACCTTGCCACTTACCGGAGTCTCTGAATAATTTCCATCCACAGCAATTGTTTTTCCTTTCCCCTCCACATATATAGTCTTCCTTGGAGTCTCCTCAACAGCATCCTTAATGACCAAAGGTCCTTGAGATTTCCTTCTTAGAGTTTCAAAATCTTCCGCCACATTTTTACGATCAGCCAACTTCACACCGAACGCCTTATTCCCGACAAAGGAAAGAGTCCTTCTCGGAGTTGAGAGGTGACGTTCATCACCAGCAGTACCTCCACCGGTTCCCGATGAAGATCTTGCCGGGGTAGAAGATCGGCGGCCTTCCGCCGCCATCCCTCCACCAGTTCCTGACTTGCCGGAATAGTAACCGGGAAATAGAATTTTTAAAAAAACTCAGAGTTTCTCTCTCTAACTTTCTCTCTCTAACTCTCTCCGTCTATTAGCCCCTATTACCATACTCTTTGGATTGATGATTTTATTTCCCTTAGGTTAAGAACAATCTAGTTGCTCACTAAATTTTTTGCACGTGGTCATGCTCATGTAGGGCAATGAAAAGGGAGAAAAAACTTAATAATTATATAACTGATATATGTGATTTAGCTTGCTTAGCTCCTAAATAAATAAGAGCATGATCAAATATGGCTAGTTTGAGAGTTTTAATTTAACTATATAACTACTTAGGATTGATTTTATATTTAAATACTTATGATAACCTTGTAGGAGAGTCTAGAGTTTTTATTTAAATATTAACGTAATTTGATTAAGTGTTGAGTTGTGAAAGTTATTCTTTAAGTCA